TGTGTCAAAGTGTGCAGTATGCAAAAATCATTCCTTGCCACATTTGTTAAATATTTTTGCTTTAATTTAGTTGTATGTCAACCATGTTGTCGAATATTTGATATAGTATGTACAACTTTTATGTACCTATACACGGAAAACGTTAACTATTAAAAGAAATATTTTAAAAAAGGGGGTTATAGTCAATTAAAAGGTTGGTTGTGTTCCACAGAGCTTCACATATGCACTCTATAGAAATGTTTATAGATAGCAGCTGAACTGTAGCTCTGCCTAAACAATAAGCAACCCTCAGCATAAGGAGACATGTGCTGCCAAAAGCTCGCTTTCCCATGAAAAATATGCTCAATTGTGTGAAGAGGAAAAAAAAAATCAACTTGCCGGCATTGCATTTCATGATTACCTTCGTTTTGACTGATATGCTGTAAATTGATACAGAATTTCCTTATCCAATTATACAAAAAACTAGTTCTAAAAGGATCTGTCCTAACATGTCAATCCTGGTTCTCGCAGAGCTCCTCGGCCTCTCACACAAATCTTACAGTAGCTCTGTTGAGTCTGTGTTTGTCCACCGTCTGAAGATAAGAAGCTAGTGTTTATGGCGTGAATGGGATAGGTATGCTGCAGTCATATAACAGGACTAAAAACCATTATACGCCTTCATGAAAGACTATTTTTTTATTTTGTATTACAAAATTCCATTGCCTGGTTTGTAAAAACACATCAGCCCACATCTGCTCATGACAACTGACAAACATTGCGGTTTTATAATATTAGGGCAACGTGAGGCCAACTTCCCCACAGGAGCTCAAACCAGTCCACAAATACTCTGAGGTCTATCAGAGAATATGAAAATACCATACCACATCCTAGACCAGTGTTTCTCAACCATTTTTTCAGTCATGGAATTCTTTAAAAGTAGGCAAAATCTCCAGGCACCCTGGAGAAAATGTGGTTGCCTCCAAAATCCAAACCAAACCCCTATCTCGGATTTTAAGAGGGTATCCAATGCAAAAACACACACAAAAAATACGTAGGGTTTCTCCCTTTATATCACTTCAAATTTAGAGCCCCTTTCGCCTCAGAATGCCCCCTTTTTGCATCAGAGTCACCCCCTCTAACACTAGAATACCCACTTCAACTTAAGCTGGCCATACACTATGCGAATTTTGGTCAGTTCTTGATGAACCGGCTGAAATTTGCACAGTGAGTGTCGCTGTCGGCACCTTTTCGGCCGGAATCCCTTGATCAGCTGATCGAAGGAACCGGTTGGAAAATCTTTGACCGAACAGAGCCTGCTCTGTTCAGGCATTCTGGCAGCAGTCAACGGACGCCATCAGAATACAATGAAGACAGTGGGAGATTCCTCAATCAACACTCGTAAGTAATGGAGGAAACAATTATATTTTTTCTTCAGCCCGCAGGTTGAATGAAGAAAATATTACAGCTTACAGTCAGCTTTAGAAGCCCCTTCACATCAGAGTCCCCTCCTCTCACATCAAAGTCCTCCTCTTTCACACCAGACTCCCCCCCTCACATCATAGCCCCCTCCTTTCACATAAGAGTCCCCCCTTTTACACCAAACTCCCCCTTCACATCAGAGTCCCCCTCTTTCACACCTCTTTTGGATAGACTAGGAAAGAGTTGAAGTTGATATCTGGGCAAAAAAAATCTCATCTAAAAGTATTTATTAGCCACAAAGAATATAAATCTACTTTGTTAGCTCAAGGTGGATTTGCAAACGCAGATATTACCTTGTAAAAAGTAGCAGTGACCTCATCATTATACTGTACATAGCCTGTGCAGGGAGCAGAGCTGTGAAGGGGACCGAACAGACTTCGCCCACTACAGACTGCCTGTAGAAAACTACCGCAGGGGGTGGATACAAGACCAGTAACCCTGCACAATGACAGATAGCAGCAGTAACTGGTCTTTATTACAGGAAGCTCCTGCACAAAGGTAACGTTTTACAATTGATTACTGCTCAGATCTGGAAGAAATTAAAAAACAAAAGACCCAACAAGGTTCTAGTAAGAATACACATTCCTCTTGTATTTAGACAATATTAGATTTTTGTGGAATTCAGCTCTAAAAACCATTGTCAGGCTTTTACCAACTGGGACAATAGCTCTTCACTTCCTGTGTCACAGGCACAACAGGAAATGAAAGAAAAAGACTCCAAAAGTGGAGGAAAAAAAACTTCTCAGGTAGTTGTCTCCACAACAGGTGTCCCCATTGGAACACTTTACCTTTATTCCTGTTCCTTTGACAACCCCACTTTAAAGTCCTCTGAAGATGGCTAAAAATGGGGACACATCAGCAATAGAAAAACCTAACAAGGTTGCACGCCCTCCAGCACTATTCAAAATCATAAAAAAAAAAAAGTTGTGGCTGAACATGGGTCCTAACACAAACTTAACACAAAGTCCAAAGCGATACATTTCAGACATGTCACAGTTCACAGCAACATTGTACCATTAGAAATCAGCTCTTAAGCTCCAGTCAGGTGATTCTGCCTGACACACTACTGTAGGGTCTGCCTGAGAGCAACATGTCAGAAGAATTGTCAATATATACATAACTAGAACCCTACTCTATATTTATTTATAAAGCCCAATTGGGGGAATGTATGAAAACTGGAGCAGACAAAATCTGGAGCAGCTGTGCATGGCAACCAAACAGCTCCTATCTTTATTCAGTTATTATTTGAAAATAAAAGAGAGAGGCTGATTGGTTGCCATGCACAGCTGCTCCAGATTTTGTCCGGTTTTGGGAAATTCCTTTTAATGCGTTTGAAATACAGCCAGTATATTTACCTAAAACCGGTCTTTACATTAGCTTACCGCAGAGGTAGGAACCTTGGCACTTCAGCTGTGATCAAACTACAAATCCCATTATGCCTGAGCGAGTCATGCCTGTGGCTGTTAGTCTTGCAATGCCTCATGGGACTTGTAGTTCCACAACAGCTGGAGTGCTGAGGTAGCCTATATATCATTCACCTGACATGTTTTTCCTCAGGCAGACCCCACATAAAAGTGTGTCCAGGCATGATGCTCGACTGGAGCTCAAGGACTGATTTGTAAGGGTGACCATAATGTTCTTCACGCTCATACTTGCACAGAGAAGCCAGCAGTTTGAGCCCATTGGGTTTGGTTACAGTGAATATGGCTTGCTCTCAGCACTAGGACAGGGAGACCTCATCAGTGCACTGCTGCTCCTTCATCATCCAGTAAGCAAACTGGCAGCAGGGATGGAATTAATAAGGAGAACATCAGCACAATCTTTTCTACAGACTGCTAAACCATGCACATGGGGGATCCTTACAATAAAAATAAAGACGATACATACACTGGGGATTATCCAGAGTTCTGCTTTAAAGATTTGTTTACATACCCTAGACTTAGTAGTACTACCATCTAAATCATTGGAATTATATGTGGAAGGGTGTTGGATTATCATACAAAGCTAGATGTTAACACTTGGCATGATTTAAAAAAAAACACCAACATGAGATGCAATCCAAAGCAGCAACTTGGGGTCAATACACACAGTGTATTTTAGACAAATTACAAAACTCCACTGGGGCTCATTATGAGAGGGAGAGAGAGAGGGGGGAGAGATAAGGAGGGAGAGAGAGAGAGAGAGAGAGAGAGAGAGAGAGAGAGAGAGAGAAGGAGAGAAGAGGGGAGAGAGAAGAGGAGAGAGAGAGAGAGAGAGAAGAGGGGAGAGAGAAGGGGGAGAGAAGGGGGAGAGGGAGAAGGGGGAGAGGGAAGGGGGAGAGAGAGAGAGGGAGTGAGAGAGAAGGGGATAGAGAGAGAGAAGGGGATAGAGAGAGAGAAGGGG